AATTCATCCAAATATATAATTAGTTTTAACCATAATTTAACCTAATTTTATTTTTTTTCAAACATAATAATATAACTTGGTCTAAGATTTTTTTTGGTACACTGGTATAAAGATTTTTAACAATGGATGGATTAGTATATACGTATAGTTTGGGATGAAATTGGAATGTTCAGAAAGTTTGGGACCAATTTGAATGAATATCATAGTTTGGGGATGAAATCAAAATATTCAAAGTGGAGGACTAATTTAGATTGATAATCATATTTATGATGAAATTAAAAAAATAAAAGTTTAGAGACCATTAAATGATGGGCACACTTTGAGAACATACAATTAACTCAATCTAAAACTATTTCTTTCGTAGGTATTGAAGAAATCAAACGAATTGACAAATATCAGCATAAAATCATAAAATCAATTAATTACCTATAAAGAAAACTACTATGTTCCCCTTGAGATCCCATTTTGTCGTACCCTAAGGCTCTAAGTAGAAAATCAAACACCCAAAAGGAAAGTTATTAGAAAAAATGACCTTCATTGAGAGGGATATTGATGAAATGTCACATTTTATTTGCTAAGAAATAAAGAGGAGTTCACGTAAAGATACCTTCAAATTATTGCTGATTGGGACTTCTATTTGATACTTTTTATGATAAGTCCTATAACATAATAATTGTCCTTCGCTGGATTTCCAACTTTTAGAGAAAAATATCAATTTACTTATTAAAAATCTTTCCCCTTTATATTATTGAGTACAATATGGGAAAACAAATCGGATCTTTGAAAACTAATAAGGTAGGTCGAGTTACCATACGACATAATAATAATTCGACAATTATATTATAATTTTTTTTAATTTACTTTGACATTTATGTGTTATGCGATATCTATTTTTTTAATTACACAAATAGGTATTAATTGTTTTGGGGTGCAATTAAAAAAGTTGGGTGACACTTAGCACATGATGCTAAAATTAAATACCTAATTACCCAAAACATAGTTGAATGCCACATTACACGTAAATGACAAATTTATGTACCAAAAAAATTAGGTTTTCCCTATTTATATTAATGTATGCCTATTATCCAATTCCTAAATAAATGCATTTAGAAGAAAATTTTAATTAGTCTAACAAATCTTTTAAATGTGAAATAATTGTTGCATTACATGAAAACTAACTAAATAATTTGGAATAAAAATAGATATGGAAGTTTACATTATGCTAAAATATATATATATATATATTTGTTATTAATATGTAAATTTTATGTATTTATAATGCTCGAAACATACAAGAGCTATATAACACAGCAGGAATATACAATTTTTGTCCTACGTTGATTATTATGGTAAATTATGTAAACTATAAGATGAATTTAGACATAATATGAACACTAAAATTTCTCTAAATTAATCATTATGATCAATCATAATATATTAGATAAACTGAAGTACTAACAAGCATAACATGGAGAATAATATAATTACACGAACATGCCAAAACTATATAAATAGGAGGTTAAAGTGTAAAATTTTATACTAATTTATACTATTTAAAACTAATTTGAGAATATATATATATATATATATATATATATATATATATATATTCTCAAATATATATATATTGGTAAGGTAGAAAATATCTATATATTTTTTGTTTAAAAATAAGAGTAAACTATGTCCGTGACCATTTAACTATGAGATGATTTTATTTTGACCATCAAACTTTTAATTTTATAAATCAGAATATTTAACTATTTAAATAATGTCAATCAAACAATCTATCGTTAACATTCGACGGAGGATCTGACATGAAGGATACCAAAATTGATATAATTATACATTTAGTTATTATTACTTACACATTCTAACAATTTGATCCTAATTTTAATTTAGTTGATGAAATGTGTAAGTAATGAGGACTAAATGTGTGATTATACCAATTTCTTTAACCACATTAGTTCTTCCATTAAATGTTAATGACATATGGCTTGATTAGCATCATTTAAATAGTTAATTGATATAGTTGATATAATTAAAAGATCGGTGATCAGAATGAAACACTCTTTAGTTAAATAGTCACGAATATAGTTTACCCTAAAGATAATAAGTTGGTGAACCTCCAAAATACAAGGACTTTCCTTGCAAAAGCAGCCAGCTCCGAATATTTTGGAAGTTTCTTCATTTTAGGTCAAACAATCCCTAAAGCTTTTCCTTTTTTCTTGGATGCTATTGGCGGTCGTTTGCTTCCATTGAAGAATAGGGTATGTGGTTAGTGGATGACAGTAGCTGGACAGCTTAAAAGAAAGGGTGTCTTAGGTTAAAATCTCTATCCACCCATCAGCATAATGATAAGCAAAAGCAATTGGCCTTAACTAACATTGAATTAATGGAGCTGTTGGTGGTTTAATTCCCTTTCGGTTTAGGTACATAGCCCCACACCAGGGAAAGACTGCTTTGTTGAATATCTCCAACAAACTAGTTTGAAAAAAAGAGAAAAAAACAGTAAGGGGACCAATATTTTTCGATTACGATACGAATACGATATAACTTTAAATAATATAATAAAATTAAAATTATTATGTGTTTAAGTATTTTCAAATTTATAATCTTTAAAATATTATAAAAAACAATGATATTAGTTGAATTAAGATTTAATCAAAATATTACTATGATTTTAATTTGAGGGGAAAATACTCCATTTGAAGGTAAGTCATGATGTAGGTATTAACCTAACAAAAATTCTTAGAAGTTCATATCTATATCCATCACATTAGATTATTCAACCACTTTGACAATAAAAATAAAACAGTTTGAAAATTATAATTTAAAAACCAAAGATGAAAAATGAACCAAAACCGGGTGAAAAAGTTCAATTTTGTTAAAAATAAGATAGCAATAAAAAATATTCTTCAAATTTTGATTATTTTTCTAATTTTTCAGTTCTATTTATAATTTTATATGATTGAATCATAAAATAAATGATAGACCGAGAGGAAGGCAGGTAAGGAAGGTAAGGATGGCCACTCCTTTTAAAAAAATTGAATTCCTATATATTTTAGATACTTTTTATTTTTCGTTGAAAATATGTTTTCGCTCTTCTTAAAATTTTACGAGTTTGTTTCTCCTTCAAAATTTTATAAATTCACTCTCTAACATAAAAATATCATATCCTTACACGAAAACCGATGAATTGAATGAATCAATTTTAATTCTAATAATTTCGTAATCTTGATATAAAAACTTCTTTAATATTTTAAAATTTTAAAAAATATTTCTTTTATTTTATGTTATTAAATTATGTCTTTTAAGTACTTTTTTTCTTAAATAAAAAATATTTTATAGAATATTTACATTTTAAATTTGTTAAAAAGTAAATAATTTTAAATTAATTAAATGTTACCACATTAACAAACTTATCAAGTGTTTAACATTGGCTGAAATTAGGAGCAAGGTCGGAAACACGTTATAGATGGGAAAGGTTATACTAGTTTAATTATATTTTAAGTCATTGATAGTTTAAAATTATTAAAACTAAACCCTAGTTTATAAAAAAATTATTTTTTAAGACCTCTATGTTTTCCAATTAATGAAATTAAATTAATTTTTTTAATTTTTATGATTTTATTGTTTTTAAGATCCTATTTATTTTAAAATTAAATAACTTAACTTCTTATATTCCAATCATGACAATATACTTGATTAGGAGGACTTTATTTGATCCTATTTTTTAAATAGTGATTCATTTGATATACAATTCAAACCAATATTCACTTTATTTTAAATATAATTAAAGGGTCAATTAAATATTTAAAATTAAAAATAATTTAACATTTTCTTGACTAATCACTTTAACCTTTATTTTTAGAACACTTTGATCCCTCGATATTTTATTTTGTAACAAAATAATCCTTAATTTGATGCAAATAGTTGATTTCCATATATAATATACATATCAGTAAATCAATAGTTTTATATTTTATTTTTACTTTTTGGTACACATTACTCGATATATCGACATGATAATTGAGATATAAAATATGGTCTAAAAAATAAATAAGTCATAAAGTTTAAAAGATATATTTTCATTAGGTGCTCGATAATACGACTAGAGCACTAACGATATATTAAACTAAAGAAATTTTGTTTCATGGGGTCTCGAGGAATAATCCATGATTAACCCTAAAGTCTATAGTATTACCCTCTAATAAATAAACCAAATCAGACATACATGCTTCGTTCTTCCTGCTTCATGTATTCTTACAAAACAATGGATCTCGCGTAGAGATGATAATTTAACTTAAAACTACGAATTTTGATCTGATTTAATTTAATAAAATTAAATTATTTAAAAAAATTAATTTAAGTCAGATCAAGTCGAATTTTATAGAAGATGAGATTAAGTTGGTTAAGACAAAAAATCTTTAAATTAACTTGATTCAAAATAATAAAATAATTTTCTTCTACAAATTTAGAGACAATTACTATAATATACTATATATTTAGTTTTTCTATTTAAGTTCTCATTTTACAGAATAAAAGTATATTTGTATATATTAATGTTATGTCAGGTGAAATATGAGTTTTATCTCATAATTTAAATTAAATTGAATTCGAGTGAAATAAAAATATTTTTCGAATCGAGTCAAATTAAATTAGATAAAATATTTATATTCTTTATAAGGAGTCGAATTCAACAGAAAGTGTATACAACAGAAAGTGTATATTTCTCGTGCTGAATAATATTAAAAAAAAAACAACCCAAGACCCATACCTAATCTCACAACCTTTTGATTCATTCAATCGTATAGAAGGTAAGAGCAGCACATTAATGATCCCACTTGGGCAAACTTCACTTTATTCTAAACTGCTAACTTAATTAAACGAAGATGTCAAGCTAACCATTGTAAGCTTAACTTGATTCTTCCCACCTTTCCATATATGTAATATGCTACTCTGTTAGCTTTTATTATACACTTTCCGAGCAGCGTATTGATTAGTATCTTTTATTTTTTTTGGAAACAAAAAAGTTATCTTTTACTTTTGCCTCGTATGGGAAACCAAGTTAGGAAGCTAACATCTTCAACTTCATGCCCATTTAGAGCACATTGAAAGAGTTTTAAGATCTAAAACTTTTTTTTTTCTTTTGATGGGTTTTCAAATCTGGCCAATGGGTTCTTTTTGTTTGTGGGTGTGTTTTGTGTTCTTGAGTTTTGTAAGTTCACAAACTGCTGATGAAACTGTTGAAGGAACTGTTTTTATTGATGGGAAAGCTGCCATTGGTAGAATAGATGAAGATTTCATTTGTGCTACTTTGGATTGGTGGCCTCCTGAGAAATGTGATTACGGTACATGCAGTTGGGGTCTTGCTGGTCTTCTCAATCTGGTAATGTCTTCTGCTTCCATCTGCAATCAACCGAACATGTTTTTTAATAGTGTTTCTGTTCTTGTTTATCAGTTTTCTGGAAAATTTTGGGGGGTCCTTTCATACTTTAGAAAGGGTGCTTTTGTTCAATCCGAAAAGCTTATTTCCCAGTTTAAAAATGGTTGCCTTGATGATCTTTCATCTTTCCTTCTTTTTTGCAGGATCTTAGTAAAAATATATTCTTGAATGCAGTAAAAGGCAAGTTCATTCCTTTTCCATTCGGTGGACATCTTTTATTTATTTCAAATACTCCATCTTAATTTGTTTATTATATTTATCAGTTTAATTTTTAGATTGGGCGGCACATTACAAGACAAAGTCATATATGACACAGATGACAATCAACAGCCCTGCTCTTCGTTTGTCAATAACACATCTGAGATGTTTGGTTTTACACAAGGATGTCTACCTATGAATAGATGGGATCAACTTAATTCATTCTTTCTGAAAGCAGGGTATATATATACATACATGCATACATATATAATGAACGCCAATATGAATGATTAATTTAGCTCATCTGTTTCATAATTCAGCGCTAAGGTTATTTTTGGATTAAATGCTCTTGCTGGTCGAACTATAGATTCCAATGGTGAAGCCGTTGGTGCTTGGAACTACACCAATGCCGAATCGTTTATTCGATACACTGTCAAAAAGAACTATACCATTCATGGTTGGGAGTTAGGTAACTACCGATGAAATGTCTGAATTATTGATACATTATCGGTACAAAGATTGAAATGAATTGTGTTTGTTATGTTTTGCTTGTCAGGAAATGAATTGTGTGGGAGCGGGGTTGGAACTCGGGTCTCGGCAGACCAGTATGCAGCTGACACTGCAGCTCTTCAAAGCGTAGTGGAGAACATATACAAGAATGTCGATTTGAAGCCGTTGATTATTGCACCTGGTGGGTTCTATGACTCGGATTGGTTCAAAGAATACATAAATAAGACAATCAAATCTGTAGATGTTGTCACTCACCACATATACAACCTTGGACCAGGTATGATTCACCTTGTACAATCAAATCTTAAGGCATGAAAGAAGGTTCGGACATGATCATTTTTCTATCTGTAGGAGTTGATGACCACCTTGTTGAAAAGATTCTTGATCCATCGGTTCTCGAAGGTGAGTCTGGAACATTCAGCGGCCTCCATAACATCATTAAGAGTTCTCCAACTTCAGCAGTTGCCTGGGTGGGTGAGGCCGGAGGGGCTTACAACAGTGGCCATAATCTTGTTACAAACGCATTCGTGTTCAGTTTCTGGTAAAATCCTAACACCTTGCTATCCTGATGCTTGGGCCTTTTGGTCCAACAGATTTCTGATTGATATTATCTGGGACATGAAATGCAGGTATTTAGATCAACTCGGCATGGCATCGAAGTATGATACGAAAACGTATTGCAGACAGTCACTGGTTGGTGGAAATTATGGTTTACTGAACACCACCAACTTTGAACCAAATCCAGACTACTACAGGTTATTTTGATTTCTGAAATTCTTTCATTACGAGACTCAATGCCTATGTATTTGAGACATTGATGATGTTCTTTCTCCATTGCAGTGCTCTTCTTTGGCACCGGCTAATGGGAAGAAATGTTCTTTCAACAAGCTTCACCGGGACTGAAAAGATCCGCTTGTACACTCACTGTGCAAAACAATCAGTAAGTTCATCATCTCATATGCAATTATCAAAGCAAGTAATCTTACTTTTCTAAGATTTTGACCAAAGTTTTGTTAAATCTTGCAGAAAGGCATCACACTACTATTGATCAACCTAGACAATAGCACTACGGTCCAGGCAAAGCTCGCTTTCAATAGTACAATGACCTTGCGACGCAAGCACCGTTCTCGTACTTCACACCATAAACACAAAGTCCATAAAACAAAGATCATCAAGCTGCCTAAAGGCATCGATGCTAAAATAAGAAGAGAGGAATACCATCTAACAGCAAAAGACGGAAATTTACAGAGTCAAACCATGCTACTTAATGGAAACGTTTTAAGTGTAAATTCTTCAGGGATCATACCTCGATTGGAGCCTTTACATGTAATTTCGGCGAAGCCGATAACTGTTGCTCCTTTATCCGTTGTGTTCGCTCACATGCCTGGGGTTATTGTCCCTGCTTGCAAGGTTCAGCCGTAGAGGGAACTAAAATTGGTTCCTTTTAGGTGATTGATTGATCAAATAAGAAATATAGCATGTTACAGATATTTCATTATTTTTCTCCATGGTGAAGAATATAATGCAACATACCTTTTTTTTCCCCATGAGCTCTGAATTTCGTCCCTTCTCAGTTTTTTTACAGTCATTTTGTTGCAAGTCTTTATTTTTCTTCAATTAACTGTGTTTAACACATTGATTGACCCTTCAAGAATGCTTCAAACACCTGAAAACTAGGAAAAAATATTGAACATATGTACAAATATGTGATAAACTGATGCATGAGAAACAAAACAATCTTACCACTATGTAGCTACCAAAGAGACAGATTCTGGTGGAATTAATCAGCAAAAAGTCATACATCCTTTGACGGTGTCCAACATGATCATAGGCATGTCCTAGCTGTTGTCCTTTGGTGCTACAACAAAAATCTGTCATAACAGGTTGTGGGAGAACAACAGAAGCTTGCAACAACTTTTTCACTTTTTGATTAAATTTAAAGACGGTTTGAGAAATGTTATTAATTTTGGTATCTGTGATTGAGTGGTTTTGTAGAGACTAGAAGTTTTTAGTGAAATATGAGTTTGTAAATTATATCAATTTTTAAAATATATGAAATTTGATTCTATATATTTATACTCTTCGCAATATCTGTGTGGATAGTTTCCTCACTATAAAATCAAATCATATTAAATTTTGTTTTATATATATAATATATTTTGTATTATCTCACTATAACTTTTTTAAACTGACAAATTCATATCAAATACTAATTTAACTCTTTTTTATCAACTCCAGAAATCTTAGAAGATGCAAAATGTCAAATTTACGAATAAGGTGTGAAAATAAGATTGTATGTTTCCAAGATTAGTAGTCGAAGACTGAATTTTACAATAAAAAAATGGTTTTGTTGAGGAAGGCGTCGCCGCCTTCACCGGTTGTCCCCACTCACCACTTGAGATAATATAGCATATTAAATGTCTAAAGCCAATCCACCCACATATTTACTTCATTAAAATACTATGAAGATCTTGAAAAAAAGAAGAAAGAGAATGAAGCAAGTGGAATGGAATCACTCTTTTTCATGGTTTTGTCTTTTAGTTGATTGGTTTCAAATCCATGTTGTAATCTCTGTGTTACCTGCTAATTGAAGTTTGCCGGAGGATATATCGTCATGAATGATGTCAAGCAGAAACTGGTCAATGTTTCTCCATTGTTGCCTATATAGTAATTAAGGCAGTGGATATTGAACAGGCTTGAACCTTGGGGTCTCTATTTTTCAATATGGCTGAAGCTCAACCACTCGGTCCTATCGAGCTTCAACCACAACCGAAGACCGTGCAGGAACTGGCAGCTATCGGCGGTAAAGAAGTTCCTGAAAGATACATCCGTAAAGCTGATAACAGTGGAGATGGAGCCCTTGATGTCTGCTTTCCTGTGTTGGATGTTCCAATTATAGATCTGCAACTCCTTGCATCTTCATCTTCCAACAGTGGAGAAGAACTCGACAAACTCAGATCGGCTCTCAGCTCCTGTGGCTGCATTCAGGTCTGGTTTTGGTTAAGGCTATCTTCTGAAACTCGATCATCAATCTACTTAAAGCATTAGAATTGTTTTGTGAGTTGCAGGCAGTCAATCATGGAATTCCAGGTGAGTTTCTAGTCACACTGCAAGAACTTGCTCGCCAATTCTTTGTTCTTCCATCGGAAGAAAAGAAGAAATACTCCAGAGAAATCGGGGGCATCGAAGGGTACGGAAACGATATGATCTTATCCGAAAATCAGATACTCGATTGGACTGATAGATTGTATCTTATACTGAGCCCTGAACAAAAGCGAACATTAAAATTTTGGCCTGAAAACCCTGAATCTTTCAGGTATTTGTTGTTCTTCTCCTTTAAGGCCATAGGAATCTGAATGAATATTAGCAATCAAACAAGTTCAATATGTGTCTTATCTGTGTTACAGGGAAATTTTGCATGAATATTCAATGAAATTACAAGTGATCCTTGAAGTCCTGTTAAAGGCAATGGCAAGGTCACTAAACTTGGAGGAGAACCAGTTTTTGCAACAATATGGAGATCAAGCAACAATGCAAACAAGATTCAATTTCTATCCTATATGTCCAAGGCCTGATTTAGCTCTTGGGGTTAAACCTCATGCGGATGGATCTGCAATCACCATGCTATTGCAAGACAAAGAAGTGGAGGGTCTTCAAGTCCTGAAAGATGATCAATGGTTTAACGTTCCGATCGTACCTCAAGCTCTTCTGATCAATGTTGGTGATCAAATAGAGGTAATGGCAGGAAGTTCTCTGCTAAAAGATGAGAGTTTCTGTGACATGATTTTGATGCAGTAAATTAAGTAGAGATGTCATGATTAACAAGTGATAGTGGTTCCATGAACTGCACACAGATAATGACCAATGGAATATTCAAGAGTCCGGTACACCGAGTACTGACAAACTCGGAGAGGGAGAGGACTACTCTGGCTGTCTTCTGCATTCCGCATCCGGATCAAGAGATTCAACCAGTAGAAGATCTCATCAATGAAACAAATCCCAGATTATACAAGAGAGTGAAGGATTATGTCAGTCTCTACTTTCAATACTACCAGCAAGGTAGGAGACCTATAGAAGCAGCACTGATTTGAAGTCCCTCATATCTCGGTTTTCCTTAGGCTTTTTCTCAGAAGTGGCATCCAAAACATAGAGAAATGATACCAAAGTGTGAAATTTTAATGAAATAAAGAAACTTCACATTGATACTGACGATAATTTGTAGGGCAATTGGCTCCCAACTATCAAATATTAAGACCTTCAAGCAGTTTGTAATTGATAGTCATCATTTCACCATCATCCTTAGTTCAATGTTTAAGATATAAACATGAATTGTCTGGAATCTGCCACAAGCCACCCAAAGTACAGAAACTAACAATCGAACTGTACCAAACAATTGTCTCATACTTCGCACCATAAGCATAAAATCCATAGAACAACAATAATCAAGCTGCCTAAAGGCACCGATGTTAAAATAAGAATAGATAAAAATCATCTAACAGGTTGTATGAGAACAAAACTCTGTCAGTTATTATACTGACAACAGGTTGTTGAACAACAGAAGCCTGCAACAAGTTTTTCACTTTTTGATTTAATTTAGAAACTGTTTTTGCACTTAAGATGAGAACGTTTTTACCAAGTAATAGTTCGATTTTTTTTCATACAACAAAGTAAATAATCTGGGTGAATTTCCTCATAAAGTGCCTCAACTGTGGTACGAAAGTCTTCATAGTGCATCAAGGACAGATGACAAGGTTATTTTTAAAAATGCTCAACTGCATCTTCAAGTGTAATGTTACATAAGTTAAAAACAAATAAAATTCGGAATTCCAACAGGATTCTTGTTGAACCGGAAGACATGATCAGGATAACATAATGAATATGCGATTCATTACAATGAAACATTAAAGCTTCTATCGTGAGTGTCGGTATCTAACATGTTTTCCAAACATGGACAAAGTTCTAGTACAATGAAATACGTATTGGATACCCGAGGAAATTATTTATGTTAGATTTAATCATTACATCCAATCTATAGAAGAATATATTTTTTCTATTAGTTTTTAACTGAAAATAAAATTCATATTGAAGAATATTTTAATCGCTACATACAATTTTTATATGACTATGTTTCTTCTGTTAGTTCTTAACCGAAGGTAGGAATCCATATTGAAGAATACTTCTTGTAATATAAAATTTCTTTCCTATTAAGTAACTAATCCTATAAATAGATGAAAAGGATTAGGTCTATTGTAAGACAAAATCGTAGAATTCCTGTGAGGTTTTGTAGCTGCAAATCCATGTAATTTTGATGTTATAGTGTTCTTATTTTTTTAATCTGTTTTGTTTTATCCGTTACTGTCTATGTTCTTATAAGGTTTTTCATGATAAGTGTTTTTGTTTTTTATCTTATTTGTTTTACTTGCAATTATATACATGATTATTTTAACAATTTTTTTTTATTTTTGGTTTTCAGATTTTGCCAATGGGTTCTTTTTGTTTCTGGGTTTGTTTTGTTGTTTTGAGTTTTGCTAGTTCACAAGTTGCTAACGCAACTGTTGAAGGAACTGTTTTTATTGAAGGGAAAGCTGCCATTGGTAGAATAGATGAAGATTTCATTTGTGCTACTTTGGATTGGTGGCCTCCTGAGAAGTGTGATTATGGTACATGCAGTTGGGGTCTTGCTGGTCTTCTCAATATGGTATTCTTTTGCTTTTGGACGTACTTCACACTGTTCTTGTTTCTCACTTTTCTGTAACATTTTCATGCTTTTGAAGGAGTGTTCCTGTTCAATCCGGAAAGCCAATTTTCCCAGTTTAAAAGTGGTTGCTGATCTTCCCTTCTTTTTTGCAGGATTTTAGTAATAAAATGTTCTTGAATGCCGTAAGAGGCAAGTCAATTCCTTTTTCATTCGATGGATATTCTTTAATTATTGATACTTCATCTTATTTTGTTTAATTATTTATAATTTTCAGGTTTTTCACCATTGAAGATTAGATTGGGCGGCTCATTACAAGACAAAGTCATATACGGCACAAATGACAATCAACAACCCTGCACTCCGTTTGTCAAGGACACATCTGAGATGTTTGGTTTTACACAAGGATGTTTGCCTATGGATAGATGGGATGAACTCAATTCCTTCTTTCAAAAATCAGGGTATATACAAACATACATATATAATGAACACCAATATGAATGATTAATATAACTCAACTGTTTCATAATTCAGGGCTAAGGTTATTTTTGGATTAAATGCTCTTGCTGGTCGAACTATACAATCTAACGGTGAAGCCCTTGGTGCTTGGAACTACACCAATGCCGAATCTTTTATTCGTTACACTGTCGAAAAGAACCATACCATTCATGGTTGGGAGTTAGGTAACCACTGATGAAATGTCTGAATTATTGATACACTATCTGTACTAAGATTGAAATGAATTGTGTTTGTTATGTTTTGCTTATTAGGAAATGAATTGTCTGGGAGCGGGGTTGGAACTCGGGTCTCGGCAGACCAGTATGCAGCTGACACTGCTGCTCTTCAAAGCGTAGTGGAAAATGTATACAAGAATGTCGATTTGAAGCCGTTGATTATTGCACCCGGTGGGTTCTATGACTCGGAATGGTTCAAAGAATACATAAATAAGACAATCAAATCCGTAGATGTTGTCACTCACCACATATACAATCTTGGACCAGGTATGATCCACCTTGTACAATCCAGTATTTGGATCATCTAGGAGCTTAAGACATGAAAGAAGGTTCGGACTTGACGATCATTTTTCTCTATGTAGGAGTTGATGAGCATCTTGTCGAAAAGATTCTCGATCCATCTGTTCTCGAAGGTGAGTCCGAAACATTCAGCGGCCTCCATAACATCATCAAGAGTTCTCCAACTTCAGCAGTGGCCTGGGTGGGTGAGGCCGGAGGAGCTTACAACAGCGGCCATCCACTTGTTACAAATGCATTTGTGTTCAGTTTCTGGTATTTAGATCAACTCGGCAAGGCATCCAAGTATGATACGAAAACGTATTGCAGACAGTCACTGGTTGGTGGAAATTATGGTTTACTAAACACCACCAACTTTGAACCAAATCCAGACTACTACAGGTTATTTTGCTTTCTGAAATTCTTTCATTATGAGACACGCGGCCTATCTATATGAGACATTGATGATATTTTCCCTCCATGGCAGTGCTCTTCTTTGGCACCGGCTAATGGGAAGAAATGTTCTTTCGACAAGCTTCAACGGTACTGAAAAGATCCGCTCATACACTCACTGTGCAAAACAATCAGTAAGTTCATCATCTCATATGCAATTATCATAGCAAGTAGTCGTACTTTCTAAGATTTTAACCAAAGTTTTGTTATATCTTGCAGAAAGGCATCACAGTACTACTGATCAACCTAGACAATAGCACTACGGTCAGGGCAAAGCTTGCGTTCAACAGCACATTAACCTTGCGACACATGTACCGGTCTCGTATTTCGCACCATAAGCACAGAATCCATAAAACAACGATCATCAAGCTGCCTAAAGGCATCTATTCTAGACTAAGAAGAGAGGAATACCATCTAACAGCAAAAGACGGAAATTTACAGAGCCAAACTATGCTACTCAACGGAAAAGTTTTAAGTGTAAATTCTTCGGGGATCATACCTCCATTGGAGCCTTTACATGTTATTTCTGCGAAGCCGATAATGGTTGCTCCTTTATCCATTGTGTTCGTTCACATGCCTGGTGTTATTGTCCCTGCTTGCAAGGTTCAGCCGTAGAGCCAACTAAAATTGGCAGCTTTTAGGTTATTGATTGATCAACTAGGAAATAGAATATATTACAGAGATATTTCATTGTTTTTCTCCATAGTAAAGAATATACTGCAGCATACCTTTTTATTTCATGAACACCGAATTTCTTCCTTTATTACAGTTTTTTTTATCTTTTTGCTGCAAGTCTTTATTTTTCTTCAATCATCTGTGTTTAAGACATCAACCCTTCCACAATACTTCAAATACGTGAAAGCTTAGAAAAACGTACTTACAGACAAGTGATTAACTGATGCATAAGAAACAACAATCTAGCCACTATGTAACTACCGAAGAGACAAATTTTAGTTGTATTATCCGGTAAAAAGCTATATATCCTTTGACGGTCTCCAACAAGATCATATACATGTCCTAGCTGTTGCCCTTCTCCGGTACTACAACAAAAATCTGTCATTTGTCGTATTGACACAGGCTGTGGGAGAACAAGAGAAGCCGACAAACTATTTAAAAATAATGTAAACGTAACATAAATAAAAAGTTCATGTAGAAGTGGAAGGCTTTCGGGTCTTGAAAGACGATGAATGGTTGAATGCAGTGTTATCTAATTCGTGGTTGGCTTTGGATCACGGGATGGATATGGATCACAATTTGTTAATTTCACTGTTAATAAAAAAATTAATTTTTTTTTTACAATTTGTTAACTTCTTCAAAATCGATTTTGAGATCATAATTCGTGATGATATTTTTTTAGTTTGTTAATAAAATTTTTAATTTTTTTCCATATGTTAAACAGTGAAAGTATAATATTTTTTAATATCTTTTTAGTTATTATAAAATTAAAGGATTAAAATTAAAATTAAATAAATTATCTATAACAGTGAAAGCACAATAACTGTTCTTATCTTGGGGTATGTGGCATCTCTCTTTTATCTAAATTTAAAATTAAATAAATTAAGTAATATTGGTTTAATGTTCCAATCGTACCTCAAGCTCTTCTGATCAATGTTGGTGATCAACTAGAGGTAATGACCGCAATAGTATGTTACCCCAACACATTGGACATGGATATGAAGAATTGTCTAAATGTATGGGAAAACTTCGAAAAAAATTAACATACCTTTGCCGTTCACATTCACCAGCACTCGCACAAGTCGAAGTAATTTAGTTACATGGTCCTGCCATGCTAATCTACCAACTACAAGTTCTCTGCTAAAAAATGACAATTTCTGCCACATAATTTTGATTCAGTAAATTAAGTAGAGATGTCATGATTAACAAGTGATTCCATGAACTACACCGAGTGGTAACAAACTCAGAGAGGGAGAGGATTGCTCTGGCTGTTTTCTGTGTTCCACATCTGGATCAAGTGATTCAAAGGGTGGAAGAGCTCGTCAATGAAAGTAATCCCAGATTATACAAGAACATGAAGGATTATGTCAGTCTCTACTTTCAATACTACCAGCAAGGAAGGAGACCTATATATGCAGCACTGCTTTCATGTTCATCACGTTTTTCTTTTAAGCTTGTTTTCAGAAGTGGCATCCTAAACATTGAGATTTGAAACCAATAATGAAATCTAAAGGAAATAAAGAAGCTTCACATTGATACCGAGGATAATTCAGATATGTTACTGCAGTTCCTATATCGTCTTTATTCAACACGAAACCGTTTTATCACAGATTATTCGCCTTTCTCAACAGAAATATGCAAAAAGAAAAACATGCAAAAGATGATGCTTAATCAAGCTCAAATGCAAGGGTGCATACTTATCTCCACTAGACTAAACTCTACCAAGCTTGAGTAGTCTAAGCCATATCAAAATAGCTACTACGCAAAAGAAGACCTCTTGTTCCTGCAGGCTGCAATGCTCAATAATCCATGCATTATCATTATATACAGGAATATTAGAGCGACAAAACAAAGTTAGACACGGTCAAAAAAATCAAGATTCTTAATATAACAAAAAGTGATAATGGTAACAATACAGTTTTAACTCATTTCTATAAATTGGTCATCAATATCATGACGAACTCTTTACAAGGAAAACTTTTAATTTGCCATTTTGGCTTTTGAGAGGATATGGTCTCTAGAGTCAAAATGTGTTACAGACTAAATATACTTCAAAACGAGAATTGGAAAAGAACCCAGCAGAGTCTGGGATCAATGGACCACTAGCTGATGTTTGTTTCCTCTTAAAATATCTTAAACAGCAGTCCACCATGGGTAGCAAAGAAGGGAGAAAAGACAAGTGATTCAACGGCCATTAGCTTGATGAGTATGTTGAGCGATGGCCTAGATGTATCCTTTAGAGGTTCTCCAATGGTGTCACCAATAACAGCTACCTTATGTGGGTCTGATCCTTCGGGACCAAGAGTTCTTGCATGTTCTGACGCACCAGCCTACAACAATTAACAACAAAAGCAAGAGCATAAATATAGAATAGTTACTTAGAAAAACGTCGATCATAAGATTAGATCACATGATATCAGTCAATTCAGAGATAGAAATACCTCGATATACTTCTTGTCATTATCCCAAGCACCCCCTGTGTTGGATGCAGATACAGCAATCTGGAAACATACCAGAACAGAAACAAACATTAAGATGAACCTTCTGTAAGAAAAAGTCTTGTGCCGTATTGTAAGAATTAAAAATGAAATTTGAAATTATATAGACAATATCCAGATTTGTTAACATCACCTGTACGCCAGAGACAAGGGATCCAGCCAGGACACCAGAGAGAGTTTCGACACCGAAAAAGATCCCAACGATAACAGGTGTGAGCATAACAAGGGCACCAGGTGGGATAATTTCTTTGATAGAGGCATCAGTTGAGATCTTAACACAGGTAGCATAGTGTGGCTTAGCCGTGTCATCCATGAGACCTGGGATAGTGTTGAATTGTCTGCGCACTTCCTCAACCATTTTCAAAGCTGCACTTCCCACACTCTTCATGGTCACAGCCGAGAACCAGTAAGGAAGCATTGCCCCAGTAAGCAAACCAATGAAAACTTTAGGGGTCAATATATCAACTTTGAAATTGCAGCACGGCTCACAAAGGCACCAAAGAGGGCAAGAGACACCAAGGCTGCTGAACCAATGGCGAAACCATGGAAAGATATGCAGAGGTTTCAAATGAACACCTATTAACCCACAACTGAAACAATAGCTGCTTCATGCCTACAAAAAAAAAAACTGCTTTAGAACTTGTTTTGCAGAACAAACATAGAGATTGCCATAAACCAAATAAATTAGAAAATCTAAGCCATGTACTAAGTGAAAACAAATCAAACCTTTCCGATAGCAGCGGTGGTGTTTCCTGCAGCATCAAGAGCATCAGTTCTGTCTCGTATTCTATGGCTCATGCCAGCCATCTCAGCAATGCCTCCCGCATTATCACTGATGGGACCATAAGCATCGATAGCCAATCCAGTAGCTATGGTGCTCAGCATTCCAAGGGCAGCAACAGAAATGCCATACATAGCCGCAAAGCTAAAACTAACAAAAATACTGATAGCAATAGCAAAAATAGGAATAATGCAAGACTTGTAACCCAATGCAAGCAGTCCTGCAGGAATCAGCGACGTCTTGAACGGGGATGCAGGATAAAATAAAGTGTGTTAAAATCACCGATAACAAAGGATAACAAAAGCAGAAAATTAATGATATCAAGATGAGTAACCTGTATGCATTGCTAGTATAGTACTCAGTTACAAAACCAATAATTAGGCCAGCCCAAAGACCAACAGCAACACATAAGAATAGTTGCCTGCAGAAAGAACACAATGTTACTCATTCTAATGCAAGCGTTTGACTTTTGACATTTCTCAATAAAAGAAGCACACAGTTTACCAGTTCTTCACAACTTTCTGGTCTCCGAAATTGAAAATGGTAAAGGAAGGCGGAAGAGCTACCCAACTAATAATTGCAATTCCAATAGTCTTGAGAACAGTGGAGATGATAAGTTGCCTCTTCAATGATGGCTCGATTTCCTTAACAGCCTTGATCTCAAAGAAATCAGTTGCAAATAAGGTGGTGATTAAACAAACAATGATACCAACAGAATTGATGATGAGAGGATATAACATAGGAGTCAACTCATGATTGATGCCAAAAGAAGAGATGGAAGCAACAACAAGTGCAGCACAAGATGATTCAGCATACGACCCAAAAAGGTCAGATCCCATTCCAGCAATATCACCAACATTATCCCCAACATTGTCAGCAATCACCTGAAAACACAGAAGTAACTCAGATACAACCCTAGAAAAGTAACTACTACTCGGTGTCAAATCTCAAAAAAGCTACAACATATAATAGTAGATGCATGTCACGTACAGCTGGGTTTCTAGGGTCATCCTCAGGAATGTTCCTCTCCACCTTGCCTACAAGATCAGCACTCACATCAGCAGCTTTGGTATAGATTCCTCCACCAACTCTGCCAAAAAGTGCCATGGATGAACCTCCAAGCCCATAACCAGTGATTGCCTCAAAAAGACCACCCCAGTCATCACCGTAGTAGAGCTTGAATACATTGATGGCAATGTAAAACACCAAAAGGCCATTTGCAGCAAGAAGAAAGCCCATTACAGCACCAGATCTAAAAGCAGTGATAAATGCCTTTCCAACTCCCTTTCTTGCCTCAAGGGTGGTTCTAGCATTAGCATAAGTAGCAATTTTCATCCCAAGAAAGCCAGAAACAACTGAAGTGACAGCACTGAGCAAGAAAGATATGGTGCTGAATGCAGCAGTGGCAAGGGCAGGATAGCACATCCTAGATAGGTCATATGTGCAAGGTTGGCTCTTCATGCTGAAACCCTCTACAGAGCCAAGGAAGAGGAAAATCAAGATTGCAAAAGCAATCATAAAGATGCCAACATACTGATACTCGGTGTAAAGAAATGAGGTTGCACGTGTAAACTCATAAATCAAAATATTAGCTAACTGGGAAGTCTTTCCAAAACTTACAATTAGAAAAGGTAGCAAACAGAACAACAAGATATAAACCA